CAGGTGGTTTATTGTTGATAAATTGATTATTGAATTTATCTTCAGGTGGTTTATTGTTGACAAATTGATTATTGAATCTAGCTTCAGATGGTTTATTGTTGATAAATTGATTATTGAATTTATCTTCAGGTGGTTTATTGTTGATAAATTGATTATTGAATTTATCTTCAGGTGGTTTATTGTTGACAAATTGATTATTGAATTTAGCTTCAGATGGTTTATTGTTGATAAATTGATTATTGAATCTAGCTTCAGGTGGTTTATTGTTGATAAATTGATTATTGAATCTAGCTTCAGATGGTTTATTGTGAATAAATTGATTGTTGATCTTAGTTTCTGGTGGCTTATTTTTGATAAAATGATTGTTGATTTTAGCTTCTGGTGGCTTATTTTTAATAAATTTATTGTTGATTTTAGCTTCTGGTGGCCTGGTACTGGTTGACTTATCGACAGGGACAAAATTGGTAGGTTGATCCTATATAATCATCTTTATATTTTAATTCTATTCAAAGTGCATAGTATTTAAACAATGTACGGTATATTTTAAAATATTATACCTTATTAGGATCTACATCTTGATTCCAATTTAAAGTAGGTTCATATGAAATTCTATCAAGTCTTTGTAGATTCACACCTTCTTTAAATTTCATCAATCGATCTTTACTTACTATCTTCTTAGGCTTAGCAATCATTAGTGTAGCATTTTCCAATAATTTATTCGTCATTTCCGGTATTTGTGTCGCCGATGAAATAGACTCAGATGGATAACAATAATGCTATTTTTTTTAAAAAAAAATAAATGACCGACATTGAAAGTTTATATAATGTTGCATATGAAAAATACTATATGAAATATTATTATTGTATATGCATATAACTGTAATAAGTATACTTGCCTCTCTTATAATTCCTTTATCAAACTCAAAATAAATATTACGACTTTCTATTTTAAACCCAACCACTTGATTAATTTCTATAAAAATGACTTCTTTAATTTTCAAATCTTTTTGTTCTTTTGCTTCCATTTCATCATTATCGAGTATACTTATAAGTTCTTCCACTGATGTATCATGATCTTCTAAGTATCGATCTAAAATTATAAAAATTCCTTCTTCCCCAAGTTTAACACATAATTCTAAATTTTTGCATTTGACTTTTGTGGTTATTTCTGTAAATAATGTTTCGTCTGTGTTGGTTCCAGAGAATAGATGTGTTTTTTGTGGAAGGAATGTTATACTTTCGATATCAATACGAATAAGATCAACGTCTGATGTGGAGATCAAAGATGGTAATAGATTGCGTGATCGGTCTGATGGATCTTGAAAAATTGTAGGTAATTATCAAAAAGCGTTAAAGTGATATCTTTAAAAAAATAAATATATACTCAAAATTACCAAGTAATAAAGATTTATCTTTCATATAACGTTTTGATCAATGAACACATTAATGAAAAATCACTGATTATCTGTATCCCAAAAATTTCGTTCATGTAAAATCTATCATTCGTAAATATCATTTGATATAAACACGTTTTACGAATAATTTATAAATTTACCATATTCATCATCATTCTCGTTATTTTCATAATACCTATTCATATTTAATCACAACGGTCGCATGAAAAAAAATGAATGAATTCAGGCAGACAAATTTTATGCTATGCACGTCGATCTACTGTAATACCTTGGCGAAAAAAAAGTGTCACATGCCGCCAATCCCGATTCAAACATGATTTAGTCGACTAATAGTTATGATTAACGTTAGCGTTAACGTTAAGCTTTGCCAAAGCCCTTAGTCAACGTTTAAGGACATAGAATTCTAAAACATCAAATTTATCTTTGTTCAAAGTTTATAAAAAACTGAATTATTGGAGCAAATAACTGCAATAAAAAAACAATGGTTTCAACATATGTTGATTCCTTATATAGCATCATATTTTTTTAAAAAAAATAAAATAAAATAAAAATACGTACTATTTATTCCCCACGAAGCGGGGAATAAATGAGTTATTCTTCCGTTTTATTAACTGACGGCCGGAGGCTATTTCCCTATTGAGTTTGAATTAAGTTGTACCCAAAATAATAGCGAAAACCTCGTAATCAGCAATTAATAAAACGGGGAATAGTGGTACTGGTGATACCGGTAGTACGTACGTACGTACTATAACTGTTATATATGTTCACTAATATCTAAACGGAAGGTCTGTGTCATTGACGTCTAAACGAACTCAATTTTAACCTAATAGGAGATTTAAAACTAATAATTTCATACCGATGGGATATTGAAAATAAATCACCGTTTATTGACATAGATTCAAGTGGACTTAAAGTGAATTATACACGTAATATCGTATGAAATTGAGAAATTTCGCTGAAACATATTTAATGTGTTACTGTAATAATTGGCATTTAAAGACATCATCATAACTTTTTTAATTATAAAAACCTTTTTATTAAAGATCCTGATGAGCAAATCATCCAATTCCTTCAGAGTGTGGGATATTTTACTTCGAAATTAAAATTATAAACAAAGGAAAAAATGGGTATAATTATTTATTATTTCATAACATAATCATCTTTGTTTTTATTTTTTTTAATATATTTTCTTAATTGAATGATTGGAATCGGATATTGTACAAAGCAAAGCGATAAAAAAATAGATGTTTCAGCTTATCTGTTATATAAATAATATGCTCATGCCCGGTAATAGCAAATTTTTAATTTATTTTCTTAATATTACAAATTAACGTCCATTATAACCCTTAGTCAAGAATATAAGGAAAATAAAGAAACTAAATAAAATAAAGAAAATGAAACATGGGGATGTAGTTATCATGGCGACGATGGATATTCTTTTTGTTCAGGAACTGGCAATCAATATGATTTATCAGATCCTCCTGGATATACTACTGGTAATATAGTTGGATGCTATTTAAATTTAAATAACATAGTATTTTATACTAAAAATGGAATCAACCTAGGTAACCAACATTTTAGAAATTAAATTTATTCTTTTAAAGCAAATAGATAGAAATTTAATGATTGTAAAATATTTTAAGGAGTTACGTGCCATCTAAATAGCAATTTCAAAGGCATTCTATATCCTTATGTTGGATTTAGATCACAAGGCGGATCAGTAAAAGTGAACATCGGCAACGAAACATTTAAATATTCTGGTAAATTTATTCAAAGAGTTTAATGTTTTTGGCTTATCTAGAATTTAATCTTGTTTATATATATTTCAATTGATAGCAATGTCTAATGAAGACATTGATAAAAAATCAAATAAAGCATTATCATTGGAATATCAAGATTTAACCGATTTTATGTATATATTTCAATTCGACATTAATCTAAAATCAAGTAATGCATTAACATTGGAATATCAAGAAAAGGTTTATTATATTATGGGTGGGTATGAAAATATGCTTGTTTATTTAACCGATTAATTAACAAAATCACTAGAAAAAGATCCAAGTAATGTATTTGAATTAAGCTACCGTGGAAAAATATATTTTATTATGGGAAAATATGATAAAGCATTTAAAGATTTAACTAGATTGCTAGAAATTGAACCAACTAATACGATAGCATTAAGATATCGAGGAGAAATTAATTATATAATGAAAAGGTATTCTGAGTCAATTGTTGACTTGAAGAAATTACTGTAAAGTAAACCAAATGACATGTGGGCAAAGAAAGTTTATGAATTAGTTAAGGGGTTGTAAGTACAATATGCATTTGTAAATTTTAGCAGCTTAAAAAAAAATTAGAAGATAATTTAATCACTACATATACAACCATAGCTCGTAAGTACAGTAACTGAACTTTTTACAGCAAATCACTATAAGTCACAATAAATCCATCAGCAAAAGCAACCAGTTCTTTATTTTCTTCAACTAAATCACCAATATTATAATACACTTTTTCAATCTTTCCAGTAATTGGAGACCTTATTATATGCTATTAATAACACATTGAAAAAAAATTAAATCTTCGTTGAATTACGCGACAATGATCATATTTGTAAATTATATATAAGTATTACCTCCATCTTCATTGCTTCTAATATCAGTAAAGGTGATCCTTTTTCAACCGCTTGTCCAGGTTGAACGAGAACCTTTATAAATATATATAATTTAACGTTATTACTAGGAAAATAAAATGCTTTTAATTCTTGAAAAAATTTTTTTTTAAAAAAAAAGACCTGAGAAATTTTGCATGGCATTGGCGTTTTAATGGAATGTGCCACATCTGCAACACCTGAACCAAGATATAAAGGTTCTGGAACATGTAAAACTACTTTTCCATCCTAAATTAAATACAAATTAGTATTTCTTTTTAAAAAAAATATATGTATAAAACGCGTAAAATTAATTTAATTTAATTAAATTACAAACCCGATCAAATATAATAATTCTATTATTCTTATCCATCACGATACGACTTTTAAACCGTATACCACTAATATCTGCTATAATTTGTTTCTCTGCATCATCCCAATGACCAGTAGCGCGTTCAAGTACAATCGGATTGCCTTTACCACGATTAATAATAATGTCAAATGAATTGTCCTGTAAATACTTTATGTCAACAGATATACGGTCATCATTTCGGTCATTGAATAAAATATTTCGTTCATATATTGTGTTAAGACGATAACCAGGGTACGATGTCCAAGGTGAATACGGATCTATAACAAAATGACTGTTATTTAATCAAGCACTAGAATAAAACTAATGCTTACTCAATTGTCTTTGATTGTATAAATTATACCAAATGATCCTATAGTAACTTTCTTTAATTCTTGATGCTCCTTCAAGATTAATGACAAAGCAGCTTGAGCAATAATATGAGGTGATACTTCTGGATCAGGTGCAAATAATTCCGTTTCATATTTCTAAAAAGTACAGACGTTAGAAATGGCATGACCTTTCGATAAATACACAAAATGTTCTACCTTAATAAATCCAGTTTCAATTTCTCCTTGTATGAAAGCAGGATGTGAAACTACTCTTTTCAAAAATTCAATATTCGTATTCAATCCAACGATCTTTTAAAATCATGTAGATAGATTAAGTATAAAAATAAATAATTATGGGCATATAAATAATAATTCTGAGAAAATAAACTAATAAAACAAAACCTCATATTCTTGCAAGGCATTTCTTAATCTACGTAATGCTTCTGTACGATTCGCGCCTTTGGTAATTAATTTTGCAATCATAGGATCATAATAAACATTAATTTCATCTCCTTGTTCAAAACCAGTTTCTAGCCGAATATTTGATGAAAGTGATGGTGTATGAATATGAAGTAATGGCCCAATATCAGGAAGGAAATTACTATAGCAAATATATATTTATATTAGAAAAATATTTTATAAATTTGGATTTAAATTCTGAAAGACGATATATACTTTTCTGGATTTTCGGCATATATACGAGCTTCAAATGCATGACCATCAAGGAAAAGTTCATCTTGCGTCACGGGTAACGGATTTCCTGATGCTACCTGTAGTAAATAAATATATCTCAAATATTAAATAAATTAATTAAAATATATACTTATAAGTTAATTTTTACCTCCAATTGCCAATGAACTAAATCTGTAGAAGTAACCATTTCTGTCACAGGATGTTCCACCTGCAATCTTGTATTCATTTCCATAAAATAGAATCGTTTGTCTTTATTGTCCATTATAAATTCAACGGTACCTGCTCCAACATAATTAACGGCTTTAGCAGCGGCAACGGCCTTTGCACCAAGTTCTTGTCTTATTTCTTTACTTAATCCTGGTGCTGGAGCTTCCTCTAAAATCTTTTGGTGCCTTCTTTGAACAGAACAATCTCTTTCAAAAAGATGTACAGCATTTCCTTGCGTATCTGCAAAAATTTGTACTTCAACATGACGTGGTGTTTCAAGATATTTTTCAATAAGAACTTGATCATCAGCAAAAGATTTTATAGCTTCTCTTTTAGATGATTCAAGTTGAATTTCAAATTCAGATGGATCATTAACAATACGCATTCCTTTTCCTCCTCCACCTTTTATAGCTTTAATTAAAACTGGATATCCAATTTTTGATGCTTGTTCTTTAAGGAATTTAGGATCTTGATTTGTTCCGTGATATCCTGGAACGACAGGAACGTTAGCAGCAATCATAATATCTTTCGATTCACTATTTAAGAACATGTTGCAAGTTAGACGGTCATTGTCTTGTTAACCAATATTCATAAATAAGTATGTGCACCTTTTTGAGCCCATAGAAATCATTGCTGATGCTGGTGGACCAATAAATATGATTTTTTCATTTGCGAGACGCTCTGCAAAATTTGCATTCTCTGATAAAAATCCATATCCTGGATGAATTGCCTAAATTTTAAAATAAAATAATTATTTTTATAACTTTTTTTTTCTAGTACAATTCTGTAGTTAAAAATTTATATAACTTTCTTTTTTTCAAATACCTGTGAACCACTTTCTTTGGCCACAGCAATTATCTTTTCGATATTTAAATAACTTTCCGAAGAAGGTGCAGGTCCAATTAAATATGCATCATCTGCCTATATTAACAAAGTGAAGATTTAATTACAGTAATAGTTTATTAAATAGTTATAAAAAAGGATCATTACAAGAAAATTACCATTTTAACATGTAACGAATATTTATCTGCTTCGCTATAAACTGAGACAGTCTTTATGCCCAATTTTTTAGCAGTACGAATCACACGACATGCAATTTCACCTCTAAATTATATTTAAAAATTATGAATTTAATTTTTATATTTTACAAGTCATCATGTAATAAATAATGATATTATTTACCGGTTTGCGATTAGAATTTTATCGAATAATGGTTTATTAGCTGTAATATCATTTGATTACAAAATAAAATTTAGCATTCCTTATAGTATTCGATAATGCGATGAAGAAAAAGTTATATACCTGAATTAGTTGAAAAATAATAATAACAATTACAATTATCCAAAGATGGTTTATTTGAAAACAATGTAGATTGGAAAGCATTTTTTTTTATGGGATAAGTGAATTTAGATGGTGAATTGATAACTTTTGGAAATCGAAATAATCGATACATTTTTTTCAAAAAAAAGAGAGATGCAGGAAATTACGTATAAACAATCAAATTAGGATGATATCTTCATTAACGTTAATGTTAATGGTCATGCAGGTCATGGTCACGGATTTTAACCGTACGTAAGGATCTTTATTATTATTATGTACTACCTAAAATCTTGCAGTTGGAATAGATAACAAAAGAATTTGCGAATGCACATATAGCTTACTAAAAAGTGAATCAGTAAGGCAAACCCGTCGCAAAAATCAGTTAAAAATAATATTAAAGCAAAAGAGAACATAAATCAAGACAAACGGACAAGTAAGGAAGATAGCACATATAAATGTACGATTTTTAAATATTGAAGAAATCGACATGTAATAAATTATTTTAGAAATGAAGTATCACACGCCTGTCAACTTACTGATGAAAATTATAGTTTCTCAAAAAATTTTATGATGCTATCACAAATCTTAATTATTTCCTTGGTTATATTCAGGGTTGGCATGGACCAGTCAATGGTCAAGCTTGACCAGACCAGTTTGACCAATTTGACCAGTTGGTCAAAGGGTTTAGTATTGGTCAAATTGG